TTTATTATAGAGTACGTTAAAAATCAAGTTATTGGGGGCATGTGCCCCCACCCATAACCATGTAAAGGTCCTTGCACATTCTTAGGGTCCTACCATAAGGGTCGATAGGGATAAAAATAGGGGTGTAACTAGAAATATGTCATACTTAGTACTTCATTCTCAAAATTGAAAAATGCTTTGAATACATGTATAAAAGATTATGAACATGTTTAATAACCCTTATTTTCACCTTATCGATCATCTGTTTGATAAACTCGTAGTTTTTGACTTTTATACTCTAAATTATGTAAATCAAAATAAGTAAGATAAGAGTTACGGAGTATTTTTCTAGATGAAGTCATTGTGAAGGGCAATTTTAGCTATTTTTTAACTTTATTTATAAAATATCTTTTTAATAATTTTCTATAATTAGCAGATTTAGTTAATTGAGTCGATTTCAACCTCAATAAATGAGTCTATGTAAATATTTGTTTGAAAACTTTTTGTGTGCCGAACTAGCTGGATGTGCCCTCTTAGCTACTCATAATAATTAGTTAAAAACAATACACATTTAAGAGAGACAATAATAAAACACATCAAAATGTCAATCCAACTTTAAGGGCACACAAATTTACTTTTGTCAAAACCTTAAAAGTATGGGCAGCATTTCACCTTGTAACTTTCAATTAATCATTGCCATATAAACGCTTCAAATGGAGTGTTTTGTCCCCGACTCAATCTGGTCTGTTTAGGATCTGTCATCTTTTTTCTTTAGAGTTCGATTTCGTATGTCACATAAGCTAGCAAATTTGGGGAGAATTTGATTTTACCAAATATCCCAACGTCTACCTATATTATTTTAATTTATAATTTTGTATACAAATATCAGATATATATACATAACTTTGTTAGTTTAAACGTTATTAGAGTTGACTGTATCGCAAGAAATGAAAATCTCATTTTCTTTGAACGGTTTCAAAAAATTTGTCCTAAAAATGACCAATTGTGCGGATTGCAATTGCATTCATTTGAGAGATGTCTTTTTTGGCAGCATTACAATAAAACTTTTAAAATAAATTCAGTACAATTGTTTTATTACCTCGTGGACAAGGTAAACTGCTGTAAGAGTTATCGGGGAGAAAATCAAAGGGATAAATTGTCGACAAACAAAAACTAAAATACGGAGCAAATATCCAAAACTATGAGTAGAACAACGTAAAAGTACAAAAAAGCAAGAGTTAATTGCTCCTAAAAACACGAGTTAGTAAAATAAGTTTGAAAAGGGCATTATGGTAAAATGTGAAGCAATAACTTTGCATGTAAAATGTAAACTGTGTGGTTGAGGTTTGCGCAGAGGAGAAAGAAATAATAGAAGCCACAAAATAGTTGATTAAAAGAGAAAGTGACAAAGTTTTTTGGGACGTCCCAAAAAAGAAAGATGATAAAGTTTTAAGGGACGGAGTATGTAATTATGTAAAGAGTTTGCTGGCTTGATCATTTAATGTAAGAAAAAATTGTCCTATATAGGACTAAAACAAGGGCTAAATGCAAAAATAAGATCTCTTATGTTTTCTCCCCTTAATAGGACCAATTTACTCTTATTCTTAAACATACGAAAATTGTCATCCCAAATTTACCCTTGCAACCATTTAATCTTCTTTTTACCCTTGCAGTCATATAATCGATCGATTCCTTCTCTAGGTCCAAAACAAATCTGCAGATTCCACCGCATCTCATCATCTCCCCTGAGATCTGCCGATTCCATCGCACGACATCGACTTCTCCACCGCAAGTTGCCTTCGCCGCTCCGCCTGCGTCACTTCTGCTTCGCTGCCTTCACCTCCACTTCGCTGCCTTTGCCCTGCACCATCGCTCTGTTTATCTTTCTTCGAATTTTCAGGGTTTTTCGCTTTCTTCTTCTTCTTCTTCTTCTTCTTTCTATTCCTCTTCTCCTTCTCCTCCTTCTCTTTGTCTCCTCCATGGATCTTCTTCTTCTTCTTCTTCATCTATTATTTTTTTTTGAAATGTTGTGTTTGTTCTCAAAATGTCATGAATGTGCCAATTACATATAGTCATCTTTAAAGAGAGAGTTTGCAATAAAATGACATCATTTGAAAAACATGTCAAAAAACATGTCATTTCTAATGAAAATTAGTTATGTCATTCTCAGATAAGTCATAAAAATGTCATAGAATGCCATAAGAATGACATTTTCTTATGGCATATGACATTTTCATTTTGTCATTCTGATAAATATACTGCCACAAACATGACAGTTTTTTCAAATAACCAATAATTTTGACATTCTCAGATTATAAAAGTGACATTCTGCTGAATAAATAAAATTCAAACCTAAAAAATACAAATAAATAAATAAAATTCGACTAAAAGTGGACTCAAAATTAATAACTCAAAATAAAAATGAAACAGAGTACGAGCAGGAAGAAAATAGAAGAGAGGAGAAGAGAAGAGGAGAAAAAGAAGAGGAGGAGGAGAACTTACCTGTGAAAACTGCAGCAGGGCTTGAGATAGCAGGAGGGCGCGCAAGTGACGAACGGCAGAAGAGATGCGTAGGGCAATTTCGGCATTCTACTGTTATTTTAGTCCTACGCTTCATCAGATGAAACTAGTAGTCCTATAATGGAATTTTTCATATGTTTTAGTCTTATTTAGGTAAATCTCTCTTAATGTAAACAGTAGTTAGTTTTTTAAAACGAAAGAGTTTACTGCGCAGAGGATGTCGCCGAAGAGTTTTACCAACTGAAGAGAAAAAGTCGTGTTTACTTTGCTGCTAAAACCACAGTTATATTTGTAAGACATGTGAGGTAAACACGCAAACTACTTAAAAACCTGCTTACTAACTCAAACATGTGTTTAAAGTGCCGCTCACTAAGCTTATCACTCTCTCATGTATTAATTAAGCGGCAATTTAAACTTTTTCGGTTTCCGCATATACCTTTATCTCTTGCCCTTACCAGGGCCGGTCCTGGCGGTTTCGAGGCCTAGGGGTGAATGCTCTATAATAGACCTAATTTTTTAAAAAATATTGTACTATATCCCATTCAAATTCGTCCAATTTTATTACATTTTAAAATTAATAAATTTTAAATTTTTATGAAAGAAATTTTAATACTATCACAAAATCGCAATTAAATTTCATAACCATTTTTAACTAGAAAAGCTAAAACACATTCACAATTTCACTATTTGACAAAATGATACTCCGCAATTAATACTACAACAAATTTAAAATGTACAAATTCAGGATCAAACAACAATATAAACAAATTCACAATCAGTACTTCACAATTCAACAAGATAACAATCAATAAGTAAATCAACAATAAAAAAATTAAAATCGGTGATAAAAAATAAAAAGTTATCATAATTATTAACTAATAATGTAGTATGTAAAAAACCATAGATTGGGGATTTAAGGGTGGTGCACCAAAGGTAGAATAACAGAATTGTAGATTTGTACAAGCAGAAGTGCTGTGAACTTCCCGTGTTTTTACGATTTGTTTACTATTCTTCTTACTAGCTGGATGAAAATACAAGATAGGACAAAAAACTCAGCCTACTCAACCTTAATATAACACATAAATATTTGACCTAATTTTCTATTCACTTTTTTTGGGCCTAGGGCCGTCGCCCCTGCTGCCCTCCCCCTAGGGCCGCCCCTGGCCCTTACATTACTGTTACCCCTACCCCACCTCAAACCCCACCCGTCCCCTACCAATCCTTGTACACCTAACCCTACCCCCACCCTACCTCGCCCACCCGTACCCCTTACCCCTACCCCTACCCCTACCCTTACCAGGATAAGTGGGATGGGTTGGGGGTTGGGGGTAAGTGGTGGATGTCAAGGTAGGGGTAACCTGTACGGGGTAAGGGGTACTGGGACATTAGGGGTAGGGGTGAGTAGAGGCACGGGGACATGTAGGGTGTATGATAAGGATACACGGATGGGTTAGGGTAGCCCCCCCCCCCCCCCCCCCCCCCCCCCCACATATTATATATACTTGTGTATACATGAATGTTTGTGTGTCTATATATGATACATACGGTTATTTTGTACATTTTAATGTTAAACAGTGTTTTAAATCCTGTGTAGTTAACATGAACTTATAACACTACTTATTTTATAGGCCGCTTATTAACATAAATTTTTATAAACGCCGCTTAGTAACATGTAAAGTAAACATGTCTAGGAGATTGGATCATTAAATAGGATTTTCCAGGGGCTTGCCGCCTAGGATTTCCTAGGGGTATGTTTGGGAGTTGGGTTTTGGAGGGGAGGGGATGGTTAACTAAGGTTTATGGCTCTCCCTTTCATGTTTGGGAGTTAAAAAATATGGAGGAGATGGTTTTGAAGGGCTTTTGTAAACCTCCAAAACCCTTCAAATCCTCAATTTTCAAGTTCTCCCAAATTGTGGGATTTTGAAATATAACTAATTAAATAACAATTTTAGCTCAATTTTGAATAAATATAAACTCAATTATTTGAATTCATCATATATGTGAAGTGATTTTAATTATAATTCATCCAAAACCTTTATCTATTCAAACTTGATACTCCCAAACAAGAATATTGATTTCCAACTCTTTCACTCCCCTTCCCTTCCAATGACTAACCTCCAAAATTTTCCCATCCCCTTTCTTAACGATATAATTTCTAAATTCACATTCTTATTCAGTAATATCATTCAATTCGACCTCAAAAGTAATAAATCTTACTATAATTGTTGAAAAAGTTTAATACTCCCTCCGTCCTTTAAAACCTTGTGATGATAGTTAATTTTATCTTCTTTGCATAAATCTCAACCACACAATTTTTACTTTATTAATCTCTATACCGGTCAAACTTAACAAATTTTAAGGGATGAAGGGGTATTAATTTAGTAAAAAGAGTTTTCATAAGCCGGAAATAGAGGCTGCTCAAGAGCTCTTAAACTTATGTTTTGTCCCTAGTTATAATTCAATCACATAGGGAGTAATTTTCATTCTTCAATAAAAACAGGGTTATTTTTACCTTAAAATTTTCAAGTAACATGTATAAATGCCAGGCGATTCCAAGTCGAAATATACCGTTAAGAACATCCAGGAAACCAAAACCTGAAAGCCGGCCAAGCCCAGTTTCCTTTGGATAAATCATTCACAGTAACCTGAAAGACTGCTAATTCTTCTTGACCGGCAACTCAGCAGTCCCCACCTTCCCTCCTTTTCCTTTATCAATCAAACTTCTTCCGATCACTTTTCTTCATTTTTAGCTTTTCATTAATTACAGGGGAGGCCCATCCCCAACTGAATCACATGTAATAATAATAATTAGAATAAGAAGATCGATTTGTCTTCTGAACAATGAGTGATAAAGAGAAGAGGGAGAAATGCGGCGGTGATCGGAAGGCGGTTCTTAGAGTGTCCTGGAATTGTGCGGCGGAGCTCCTCCTCCTCGTCACTATCTTCCTTATCTTCTTCTGCGTTATTATTGTTCTCCACTTTACTTTCTCTCCCACAAGCCTTAGCAGCTGCTTGCCCAGACCGCTCTCTGTTTCCGCCTCACTCTCTTCCCCAGCCACCGCTTTCCCTCCACCGGAAACAGACGTAAAAAATGGCGTCTTTAAACGGGGCTTCAATGGGTTTGGCTCCGCCGCCTACAACTTCATACTTATGTCGGCGTACAGAGGCGGGTATGACACCTTCGCCGTCATGGGTTTGGCTTCGAAGCCTCTCCACGTTTTCGGGCAGCCCAGTTACGTCTGCGAGTGGGTCCCGGCGAAGGGGGGACCTGTTTCCGTCTCCGGCGTGAAAATCCTTCCGGACTGGGGGTACGGCCGGGTCTACACGGCGGTGGTGATCAATTGCACATTCCCCGTTTTCGTCGGAGAAACAGGGGTCGGCGGGAAACTCTTAATCCACGCCGCCACAAACGGTGGAGGGGATACGGAGTTCAACGTCACCGACACGTTCACCGCCATGACAGAGACGCCGGGGGATTTTGCCGGTTTCATGTCCGTGTTCTCGTCGGAGCCGAGGTACGATTACCTGTACTGTGGATCGCCGGTGTTTGGGAATCTGAGTCCACAGAGGATACGAGAATGGCTGGCATACCATGTTCGGTTTTTCGGCAAGAAAGCCCATTTTGTGATCCAGAACGCCGGCGGCGTACACCCGGCGGTTATGGAGGTGCTCCGGCCGTGGATGGAAATGGGGTACGTGACATTGCAGGACATAAGAGAGCAAGAAAGGTTCGACGGATTTTATCACAACCAATTCTTGATTTTGAATGATTGCTTACACAAATACAGATTTAGTGCGAAATGGATGTTCTTCTTTGATGTTGACGAGTTCATCTTCGTCCCAAAGAAGAGCTCTCTTCCGGCGGTGCTTCGGTCTCTCTCTGAGTATACGCAGTTCACCATTGAACAGATGCCCATGTCTGCGAAGCTCTGTCTCCGGGAGGATTCCGGCAAGACATCCCGGTATGATTCAATTTCTATCCTACCACGATTTTCTTGAACCGAATCAATCAATCAATTCTTTAAATCTTGTTTTTTTTTCTCAATGGGCTCACAATTCTGTCTTGTCGGTTGGCAAAAATTCAACACCCATGTTTTTGATCGTTAATTTATTACTGCTATTTCTAATTTTTAAGCCCGTCCCTCAACTTTTCTGTTTTATTCCTTCCATCCGGTGGTCGACGATGGGACACGAGGGAGTTTCACTTTAATTAATAAAAAATTAGTTTATGTGGTTGATATTAATTGATAAAGTAAAATTAAAGTAAGAATAATTTAGAGTCACACAAACTTTACCAAATTTTGTATGGGACAATCTTAGTGGTATTGATCGATAAGGTAAAATGAGACAATCATAGCGGGACAGAGGTAGTAAAACTTTTTTATTCTTGTCCAACAACCCATTATGTTTCGAAGATATATACTCCGTATATGCTTCAATTTGAGGCAAAATTAATTTGTTAATTTATTCCAAGGTTATAATTCTATGAAACTATATCCACTATCCAGGCATGGTTTTTACGTTGGATGAAGTCTAGATGTAAATTTTTGGGGATTTTTCATTTTGTGTGTTTATTGTGTACGTTCCTGCATGGTACATATGGATTGGAAGGTCCAAATTAAAAAACTTTTAACTTGCGTGACAACGTGGCAAAAAGTGCATGGTTAAATAACTATGACTAGTTATGATCAGTTATTCCAAGTCATTTTCTTATCTTTGTAAAACTATGACCTCAAATTGGATATTATTTTCTCTTTTTTAAAAAATAGTAATAACTTTTTTATTTTTGATCCGATTTTTATAAAATTTATATCAACATTTTTTATTTGGGAAAATGGAAACTAATAATCCAACCTTTTAGCGGTCTTCTTACAATAGTTCCACCTTTTGATTATTCATGAATAATCCAACCTTTGCACCTCATCTTCATTCACTGGTCTCTGGCCGATTTATGACCTGTTATTCCAAGTCATTTTCTTATCTTTGTAAAACATTATACCATAATTCTCATCTTATGATCACATAATGTTTTGCAAAGATAAGAAAATGACTTGGAATAACAGGTCATAAATCGGTCAGGGACCAGTGAATGAAGATGGGGTGCACAGGTTGGATTATTCATGAATAATCAAAATGTGGGACTATTGTAAGAAGACCGCTAAAAGGTTGGATTATTAGTTTTCATTTTCCCTTTTTATTTTTTATGATCTTTCAAATGAGACCAATATTGCCTATGTAATTTTAACATATTAACATTTGCGTGTAAAATATGTAACTCTACGTGTTAAAATATGTAACTCACGTTCAATCAGGCCAAATGCAACTCGTGTGTATAAATATGTATCTCTACGTGTAACAATATGTAACTTTACGTAAAAAAATATGTAACTCGCGTTCAGACAGGTCAAATGCAACTCGTGTGTGTAAAAATATGTAACTCGCGTGTATAAATATGTAATTTTACGTGTAAAAATATGTAGCTTTACGTATAAATATATGTAAGTCGCGTTCAGGCATGTCAAATGCAACTCGTGTGTATATATATGTAACTCGCTTATAAAAAGATAAAACTTGCTTATAAAAAGATAAAACTTGCTTATAAAAAGATGTAATAACTTGCTTATAAAAAGATGTAACTCGCTCATAAAAAGATGTAACTCAATGTATTATCAATTGTAACTGATGCCACTGATCCACTCCCAAACAGATTCGATCTTCTATTTCACAAACCTATCATCTCCCAAACAGATTCGATTTTCCTTATAATCCAATACTCATTAATATAATAGTTCGATAATTTCTTAAAATTATATAAGTAATATTGGTCTCATTTGAAAGATCATGAAAAATAAAAAATGTTGATATAATTTTTATAAAAATCGGATCAAAAATAAAAAAGTTATTATCATTTTTTAACAACAAAAGCAAAAAAAAAAGAAAGCTTGCTGCGTCGTTTTGCAACCGGGCGCACCATCCTCATGGTGCGCCGGTTGCACGGTATAATTTGCCGTAATCAAATTAAATAAATACTCTATAATCCCAATCCCATCTCTGAAGGCCACCCAACCCGGATCGGACGGTACGTTGGGAGGATGTAAATTGGACTATAATCCTAATCTGACAGATAGAGAGTGGGGTTCTGTCCCCGTTACTTGCAGAGACCCTATGCATATTAGCATAGTAACCTCTACCAGTTGAGCTACGCTCACATGTGAGTATTGAGCAATTTTCGTAATAAAAATAAGGTTAGTTGTGGCACTAACCTTATGGCACTCTCTTGTGGCACTCCCTCGCTACCAGTTGAGCTACGCTCACATGTGAGTATTGAGCAATTTTCGTAATAAAAATAAGGTTAGTTGTGGGAGAGTTTGATTAGAATTTTGGGTTTAATTTTTACATTGAAAAAAGAATTAATTCCGTTTTAGGTCCTCCGAGTTTTGTGTCATTTCCATATTTAGTCATCGTCTTTCACTTTATCCATTTTTGGTACCTTACTATTGTTTTCTTGACCATTTGTGGTCCATTTCTGAGCATTTTTACTATCGGAAAAGGACTATATATGGTCAAGAAAACAATACACAGGTACCAAAAATGGATAAAATGAAAAACGAGGACTAATTGTGGAATTGGTGCAAAACTCGAAAGACCATAAGTGGAATTTCTTCTTGAAAAAATAAAGTAGAACATGTGGGTAACGGGTATTGTGCAATTTTCGTAATACAAAAACAAGACGAGTTTTGGGAGTGTTTGATTAGAACTTCTACCAAACTTGATATTCATTATGGCCAAGTGACAAATCTTAAAGAATAGACTAGACTTCAAAGTACGTAACACCCAAATGATTGCTTTTATTAATCATTATTAGGCTTCATTTACACTTTTGCTTACTATTCAAAGCCTGTATTGAATGCCGTTGAATCTCTTTTAATTTCCATGGTACAACAACATCAACAACCATGACACCATGTTATAGATTTTGACATGGTGTTATCTATGATATTGCAGAAGATGGGGGTTTGAGAAGCTAGTATATAAGGATGTAAAGACTGGGATATGGAGGGATCGGAAGTATGCCGTGCAGCCCCGCAACGTGATAGCAACGGGGATTCACATGTCCGAGAACACGACGGTGGGGAGCAAGACGACACACCAAACCGAGGGACACATCATGTACTACCATTACCACGGGACCGTCGCCCAACGAAACGAACCGTGTCGACAATTCATTAATGCTACGTCACTCACCGTCGACGAAGTCCCGTACGTACTTGACACTACAATGCGAGGCATCACACGGTTTGTGAAAAAATTCGAACTCGAAACCATTGGAAATGTGTTACATAATACACACCAATAATCATATTACTGATGTGTTTCAGTCCTTTTTTTATTGTGAAATTGTATATGACAGAAAAACAATGATAAATACCACATATTGTGGTTATTGTTGCATATAGAAATAGATAGGCTGTTTATGTGTTAGTTCATTTAAACAATGTTATACTCTTGTATTTAATTAATGTACACATGTATTTTTTTAATCAATGGGAGAACAAGTTGGGTTGATAAGTTGATCACAAATTTATTTGTTATAGCTGTTGGTCCAAAATAGGACGCTCGTAGGCTTTTAGGAAAACTATGTAAGAACACTCAAGCAAGAATTAGGAAAGTACGAATATGGAAAGTTGCAAAAGGGATTTGGTAGCCAGAAATCGCATATCTGTATTTGAAATTCGAATTGCCTTTTATAGGCGATTACAAATGGTAACTGTCGAACATAATAATGACTAAATTAATTACAACATTAATACAAAATTAAACACATAATTAAGTTGCGCATTATTTGTTGCCCGTTACTCTTCCTGGCTGGCTGGCAGGTCGGCCTGGCTAGCAGGCTCAACGCTTGAGCTCCTCGGGTGACAGGCTTCCGGTTGGGCCAGTAGGCTGGCTGCTGAGCGGGCTGGTAGGTAGGCTTCCTGCTAGGCTGGAGGCAGGCGCCTGGCCAGGCTGGAAGGCAGGCCGCTGGCCGGGTTGGACGGCAGGCTGCTGACTGGGCTGGTAGGCAAGCTCCCTGCTGGGCTGGACGGCAGGCTGCTGACTGGGCTGGTAGGCAGGCTCCCTGCTGGGATGGACGGCAGGCCGCCCTGGGCTTTCACTCTTTGATGGGCCTGATCGGTTTGGCCGGAACGAGCTCTGGATCACTGGGCTTGGGCCTGCTGGTCAAAGTCCGGGGCCTGGGCCGATTAGGCTCTAGGCCTAGTCCCATAACCCCATCATGAGTCCCCCACTCCCTTAGTCGAGTAGTAGACTCGGCTAAGAGGGAGTAGTTTAAGTCAGCTGCCGATTTAAAAATATTCACATATCAAGGAATCATAATTGCGGATTATGTGAATCCCGGAGTTTATGGAAATTCCCAAATTAAATCAGGCTCCCAAAAAAGGCTCCAAATAAATTCCTTCAGCATCCTAGCACTCCAGCCGTCAGTTTTCTTCCGGACTTCAGGTCAGCTCCCGAAAATTCCTTTTCTTTTCTTTCCTTTCTTTTCTTTCCTTCTTTTTTCTTTCCTTTTCTTTTTCCTTTCCTTTTCTTTTCTTTCCTTCTTTTTTCTTTCCTTTTCTTTCTCTTCTCTCTCCTGGTCTGCGTCCGTCTTCCTCGCGTCGCCCCAGCGCCGCAGTCAACCGGCCGACTGGGTTGACCGCCGTTTCCCTCGTGGCGGCTCTTGGGTCGGCCTCTGCAGTGCCAAGCGGCTGTCTCGCGCCACCCACCGGTCGCCGACGTCCCCAGCAGTCCAGCGAATTTGGCCGGCGGGTCTAAGCTTCTGTTGTGGCCGGCGCAAGCTTCAGGGATAAGCGGCCTCCCAGGAGGCTGGCGGCCAGGCGGGCGGGCGACCAGGCGCTCTCAGGCCGGGCGCTGCCAACTGTCGTTTGCTAGGAAGCCGAGCGACCAAGTGGTCCTCCGGGTCCGATTTGGGCGGCACCGTCCCCTTTTTTGCCGGCTAAACTATCAATTTATTTGGACGCCGTGTGTGGTTCACCGATTCCACAGGTCGGCCCTTGCCGCACCCAATGCCTGTCCTGCGTCACTCGCCGCCTGCGACACCGCCCCTGCAGTCCGGTGAGTCTGGCCGATGGGTCTGGTCCCCCATGCTTGGCTGGCGCGGTTTCTAGAATCCGGTGGCCACCCTATTGTTCGTGCTAACGTGCGGGTGACCGGGTTCCAGGGGAATTGGACCTCCGAAGTTTGTCTCCCAGGATCTTCATCCCGCATCCCTTGGTGAAAATTCTTGGAAATTGAACTTATCTCACGTTTTTTTGCAGATCCGGTCTTCTCTTTCCAGTGTGAAAAATGCAAGGCAATGGGTGCTCGGCTGGCATCGAAGTAGAGCGTGGGGTAGCTGCGAGACCCATGCGGGTCAGCCACGGCCCTCGGCCCCGTATGCATGCACGTGTTATTACTGGGCGGCAAGCCGATGCTCTCATTGAGTTGGCTCCAGTTAGGCGGGTTGCTACTTCTGAGGGACGACCTCTCAATGCTCCAGATAGAGCATGCATCCAACCTGTGAACGTACCAGACTCAGATGATGATTCCGACACTCAGGCAGACCTGGATTCCTGGTGGGACCTTGATAGCAGCGGAATACCGGGCCTCCCTTCTCGCATCACGGAGGAGGACCTTATCATGGCATGTGGTTTGATTGGTAATAATTGTTTGTTGGAAACTCCGGGAGTTACTGACATATTGAGGAATCCACCAACCCCCATATTTCGGGGTCCATATCCGCCCTCTGGAGTTAGGGATGGTTGTGCCACTGCATCCCTTCCTGATTCGGTTCCTTCACTTCCTGGGTGTGGCACCGGGTCAATTGGCTCCGGCGGCTCACATGTTCGTTGCAGCTTTCGTGGCACGATGTGAGGGTGTGGGCCTCACACCCACGATTGATTTGTTTTTCAGCTGTTTCCAGTGGCGTGCTTCTAGCTTTTTCACCTCAGTCTCCCAGAGGTCGGTGAGCAAACTGTTTCGGTCGGGTTACCCCACTTAAGGCAAGGGGTGGAAGAAGAGATGGATCTGGGTGTCTGACCCCGATCTCCCGTCACCTCCATTTCAGTGGGGTGAGCGGGTTCGGAAGTGTGACCGGGTCACTCTCTCCCCTGGTCTCAAGTCCTCCATCGAGATATTCTCCGCAGGCGGTCCCCACTCCATAAGCTCATATTTAGGTGATTGTCGTCTCCCTGGTCTATGTTTGCTACTTTGTATTTTATTCTGCTTATCCTCACATTTTCCTTCCGCAGCTGTGCCTGAGAAGCTCGTTGTTGAGGCGGAATCCGATGAAGAGGAGGAGCCTCAACAAGTCATCGTTCCTGTGGCAACAACGGCTGCAGAGGGGAAAGGGCACGAAGCCCCCCCTCCAAAAAGGGTGAGAGTTACCTTTGGGCCTCAGCCAACTACGCTAGTGCAGGAGAAGCACAAGGGCGGACTCGTCGACCTGCTAGTCAAATTGGACGGGTCCGATGAGGAGGAGGAGCCCTGCCCCGCCGTTGCTGATGTGGCCCCTAAGACTGTTGCGGGGAAAGAGCGCGGAGCCTCCTCCCCGGGCCGAGGGGAACAAGTCTCGAAGAAGGCCAAGGTCGCCCCCAAGTTTCATTCCGCTGAGCAGGTGCATGAGGGTGCGGATGAGAGGATGGCCGAACGGATCAGCCATGACACCCAGCATACAGTTACTTATGCCTTCCCATCTTCGAGTGCCTCGATTTTGCATGAAGGCTTCCCGGTCGTGGATTATGCTTCATCAATCCTCCCACCAGGCGACCTCACCTGTACGACTTCCCAAGAGTTTCATCCCCTCTTGGAGGGTTCCATCCGATCACATATTGAGGTAGGTTGATCACGTCTTGACATGGATTGCGTTTATCCCTGAACCCCCTCACATTTTCGTTTGTCTATTTTGCAGGGGCTCGCCAAGACCATCGGGGCACTCCACGCGGCCAATCATTCTCAGGTCAGGCTTCAGCGCGAGGCTGACGAAGCTAGGGTTGCCCTGTGGGCCAGCCAGAAAGCCTTCTCCGAGCTGCAGTCCTCGCGTGCACAAGAATGTGAAGAAGCGTCCAAACAAGGAGCCAAGAAAGCGCTCTCCGAGTTCCAGGCACCTGAGCAGTTCCAGAAGATCATCTCTGCGAGGGTGCAAGCGGAACAGTCTGAACTAGTGCAGAGGTGGCTGACGACCCCCGACGGAGAGTATTGGCGTGCTCGCGAAGTCCTCTATGCTTTTCAGAGTGGCAAGTATTTGATGCAGCAGAAGATGTGTGGCCGGTTGAAGGATCTCGACCCTGACTTTCATCCATCCACACTGGGCCTTCCTGGTCGCATGAAGAAACCCGTGGAGGCGATAGCCCTTCTTCCCCCAGAGGCCGTCCGTCAGGAGGAGGAGCTTGGTAGTTCGAACGAATGGGCCTGGTTCTTTCTGCCTGCTCCGGGGAACATGACTCCTGTGGCCCCCGGCCAGGACTTGGTTGGTGTGTTAGATGATGTTCCCGAGGTTGATGGCGATGGGCCTGTCCAGCCATGACCTTGTATTTTGTATTTCCTTTGTTTCCCACTTGAATACTTTGTGGATGTTCGATTTTTATTTCATACGCCTCCTTTTCTATACTTTGCATTACAAATACTTAACAATTTATTTGGGGATCTGGCTTCTCTAACCTCCCGGGGGCGGTTAGGCTGGCGTGGCCGAGCCTATCCGTGCCCCTCCTAGTTGGGTAGAAGTGATCTGTTCGCTATTGATATGGAATCAACAAGTAATTGACTGGTTTGGCTAGCAAGGTCGGACATTGAACCGACGAGGAAGACCCTTAGGTCGGTATCCTGAACGTTCATGACCCGGGGGTCAGTCCTACTGTCACTTTAACCCGTCCAGTTTGCCCGAACTTGGGGAATAATCTGGTTACTCCCGCATGGATAGCCAAACAACAGGGGCGGACCCTGCATGATCCACCAGAACGAACCTGCACCGCCAACTCAGGGATGACGAGAGTGCGAGCTGCTTGGCCAGCGATGTTAGGTGGCGAGCACTCGAAAGGACCCGGAGGTCAGCATACTGAGTACCCTCGACCCGGAGGCCGACCCTACCATCGCCTCGACTGTCGCGGCTAGCTCTTTACTTTAGAAAATTGCCCAGATTCTTGAAAATCGCTTGGCTATTTTCGGTTAAAGAGCCTGGCTGAGGTCGGCCAAACACCGAGGGGGGCATAATACCTTTTTTTTTTCGCCGCCCTTTATTGCTAAGTGAGGTCAGACCTCTTTTGATGACAAAATATCGCTAGCAAAGTATATTGAATTCATGATGTGGGCGGACCACATGAAGAATTACAAATTGTAATCTCGTGCTCGGAGCACAGGAGTTTACAAAGAAAAGTGAAACTTCGATTTTCTACTGGTAAAACTTCATCAGGTGCTCGGCATTCCAGACGCGGTCTACCAACCGGCCTGTTGTTATTTTCAACTTGTATGTCCCAGGGCCGATCACTGCGTCAACCACGTAAGGGCCTTCCCACTTGACGGAGAGCTTACCTCCCTCTGTCGGCCTGCTAGCCTTCCTACGTCTTAGGACATAATCACCGACGTCAAAACTCCGGGGTCGGGTTCGACTGTCTTGGTACGCCTTGATTTGTCGTCGATAGTTTTCCGCTTTGATGAAGGCACGGTCTCTTCTTTCCTCAATGAGGTGGAGCTCGGCTCGGAGCCTCTCCTCATTACTGGCTGGTTCAAACTCTTCCACTCGCCGGCTGGGAACTACGGCTTCGAACGGTGCCCTCGCCTCAAAGCCATAACACAAGGCAAAGGGGGTTTCTCCTGTTGCATTCCTTGGGGTTGTCCTGAAGGTCCAGAGTATATTGTTCAACTCCTCCACCCAGGCAGTCCCGAGGGCCTCCAACTTCTTTTGCAATCCATCGACGATCGTCCGGTTGGTGTTCTCCACCTGTCAATTTGCCTGGGGGTAGCAGACCGCAACTTGGCTGGATTCTACGCCCCACTCTGCACAGAATTGCCGGAAGGCTTCGCAGTCAAACTGCCTTCCGTTGTCGGAGATTATTTGGAGGGGAACCCCAAACCGGCAGAAAATATTCTTCCATATGAACTTCTTACATCGGAGATGTGTAATGCTGTCAAGCGGCTCGGCCTCAACCCACTTCGTAAAGTAGTCCACCGCGACGATGACAAACTTCCGGTTTCCCGACCCTGTTGGTAAGGGACCGACCAGGTCGACATCCCATCTTGTGAATGGAAGGGCGGTGCTGATCGGTGTGTACATTGTTGCTGGTCGGCCGAGGCTCTTCTGGAACTTCTGGCATGTCTCGCATTTCCTTGCATAGTCAGAGCAATCCTTCATTATTGTTGGTCAAAAGTACCCCTGGAGGACGACCTTCCTAGCTAACGTGCCTGCCCCCTGATGGGCGGAGCACACGCCCCCATGGAGTTCAGAGACGATCATGTCCACCTCATGTGGGCGTAAACACTTTAGCAAGCTAAGGTCCCATTGTAGGACCTCTTGTACAGCTTCCCATCCAAGACGACGTAGCCCAGAGCTCGCCGCCGGACTAACCTTGCCTGCTGGTCCAAGTTCGGGGCCTGGGCCGATTAGGCTCTGGGCCTAGTCCCATAACCCCCCCCCTCGGTGTGACCAGGTACCCCAGGAACTTGCCTCCTTGGACGGCAAAGGTACATTTCTTCGGGTTCAGGCGCAGACGGACTGCCTTCATGATCCCGAAGATCTCTGCCAAATCATCTGCATGATCGGACACCTGGGTGCTCTTGACGATCATGTCGTCAACATACGCCTCCATGTTCCTTCCGAGCACCTTCCGGAATACCTTGGCCACCATCCTCGTGTACGTCGCCCCAGAGTTCTTCAGCCCAAAGGCCATGACAAGATAACAAAAAATCCCCTCTTGGGTGACGAACGAGGTCTTCTCCGCATCTTCTTCATGCATGAAAATCTGATGGTATCCTCAAAAAGCGTCCATGAATCTAAGGAGCTCACATACGGCCGTCCCATCGACTAGTTGGTCGATGTTAGGCAATGGGAATGGATCCATCAGACATGCCTTGTTGAGGTCGGTGTAATCAACACACATCCTCCAGGTTGGCGGCTTCGGGTCCAGGACTTCGTTTGCCAGCCAGACCGGGTACAAGACCTCCCGGATATGCTTGATACTCAGGAGCATGTTGACATCCTTCTTCACGAATTCCTTCCTCTCAGTTGAGAGGTGTCTTCTTTTCTGCTGGACGGGCTTCGCCGTTGGATTGACCGCCAGCCGATGGACAACGATGCTTCGGTCAAGGCCAGGCATGTCCTCCGGTCTCCACACGAAAACAACGCTAAAAAGGACAAGTACCTGGATAATCTTCTCCCTCAAGCCGGTCGGGAGCCCGGTCCCGATCTTGACCTTCCGCTCCGGCCTCTCAGAGTCAATCTGGATCTCCTCCACTTCTGAGGTGGGTTCAGCGCGGAGCTGACCCTCCTCATACTTCATGGCTTTGCTGTTGATAGTGTAGACCCTCAAATCTTTTTGACCGATTTGTTTGCAAGCTTTCAGATAGCAGCTCCTCGCCATTCGCTGATCTCCCCTGGCAACTCCAACGCCATTCGGAGTGGGAAACTTCATGCATAGGTAAATTAGAAAAAAAAACTCAACTAAAAACATAAAATTAAAAAATGAACATAATAAAAGTTGAAAAATTTAAAAATTTTTAGTTGATATTTATAAAGTGAATTAGAAAAACGTAAAATAAGTTTATACGTAGTAGTAAATTAGGAACACAAAACTAAAAAAAAATGAAAAACGTTTAAAATGTCAAATATATAAAAAAAATCAGAGATGTAATAATTTTTTTAAAAGTTACGAAAAAGAACTTTAAATATAAAAATAAAAATGTGTAATTAAGATTACATGGTTAATTGAAAATTTCCAGGAATGCGAAAATGTCCGCATGGGATCAGTCATCTATGCCATTCTTATCTATTACGAGTATAAAATAAATCTGATACTCCGTACAAAATATTATCCTTATCAAAATAATCATTTTCTCCCTTTCAATGCAAACTAGATTTTCACCCGTGCGATTCACGGGTCATATTTTCGTTTAGTTATATGATATTATTTATTAGCTTTATTAGGGAATGTGTAGATGATTTTATTTTTACACATGTAAAAATAAAAAATAAAACATAAATATAAACGTAAGTATATTAAACACTCATAATTGGTATGATTTATATATTAGGATACAAAGGAAAAAACGAAGCATATAATAAGATTTTGAAACACTGTTTGTAGCATTGGAAACATATATAAAATCGATAAATACTAAACATTTCGAAAGACTTCTTTGTAAACAACATTTGTAGTACGGTCAGTCTTTTCCCCATCTTCACTGTAAATCAATATCTTCAAACCCTTACGGTTTGTCACTCTAGATACTGCCACATACAATTGACCATGCGCAAACACAAGTTTCTTTAATAAGAGACCAACATGGGTCAAAGATTGGTCTTGACTCTTGTTTATTGTCATTGCATAAGAAGTCATGACTAAAAATTGCCTTCTTTGAATTTTGAACAGTATTCTTGCATCTGATTGAGTTAAACTTAACCGTGGAATGACAACTTCTAAGCCAGTATATTTTCCGCCTAAAATTCTTGCTCCAAGGATGTGATTACCAAGTCGGGTAACAATCAACCTTGTTCCATTGCATAGCCCCATTGAAGGATCAATATTTTAAAAAGAATTATTGGAGTACCAACCTTGAGGGTTAACTCATGGTTAGGAACTCCGGATGCACGTATTTTGTCGAGAAATTCAGGAGTATGCAAATCTCCTAAAAAATCCGTGTTAGAGTCTGACCTGCAAATGTTGTCTGAACATAAATATGTCTTTGAATCTTCGTTCACATTCAAAGCGGCCATGTATTCATTAATGGCATCGACCACATCAAGGGTTGGAGCCAAGATTGCACGCTCCTGCAAAAGACGTCGGGTCGTTTGCAATATTTTCCAAGTCTGGGTAGATGCTTTTTACAATTGTAGCAATGGGATCGTCTCCGCACTCTAACAAAATGTTGCTTGGAATTTGAACTTCGGCAAAGCCATCATTATCTTCACCCTCAGCACCATCACCTAAGATAGCAATCCACCTTGCAAACTCTACCAAATCTTCATATTCGCGGTCGTCGGTCAAGGATTGCAATCTCATGTTCTTCGTGAGACGTAATGCAATGCACTCGTGCCAAAGATATGAAGAATTAATCGTTGCATTAACTATGTCTTGCATGCGACCCTTTGTAATGACTGGTAAAATTTGCCTAAAGTGTCCTCCGAATACAACAATTTTCCCTCCAAAAGGTTTTTCAGAACTATAGGAATTAGTGAATCTAAGGATGTCTCTCAAAGTTCTATCTAAAGCTTCGAAACAATATTTATGCATCATTGGAGCCTCATCCCAAATTATGAGCTTGCATCGAATTATCAACTGGGCTAGGGGACTCCCTTGTTTTATGTTGCAAGTGGAGTTCTCATTAGGATTGATTGGAATAGAAAAATCGTGAATGTGTTGTCCTTCCACCAGGTAAAAGTAACGCTCCAATACCGCTTG